AAGATGCATTTGATGTAAATGTACATTTTGTCAGCTTTACTTCTCCTTTCATATTGAATTTTAATAAGAGTAATATATATGATTTTTTGTGTGTGTACCTGCATGTGTTTTACGGTCCTGTACAGCCAAGGAAAATTTCCCTCTGGGATAATAAAGTACTATCTTATCTTATATTTTCACCCAACAAAGAAGACGAAAATGTTTATTAGCAAAAATGCTTGGTTATAAACAAAAAGGTATTTGAGTGAGGTTGGAAGGGGGGGGGGGGGGTGTCAGTATGGCCTTACTGGGTAAGAAAAAAAAAAGATGAAGCAAAAACCCAAAATAAAAAGGGAGATTGGATGAATAGGTTATATTTTCACACTACGCAGATACAGAGGACGAAAGATAATATAAGATGACGTGAAATAATGTCTTCGCAGTCACTGCAGTGGCAGTGTGTTAGTGACAGTTATAGTGTGTTAGTGGCACTGACGTGTGTCAGTGACAGTGTGTCAGTGTGACAGTGTGTCAGTGGCAGTGTGTCATCAGTGATAGTGTGTTAGTGTGACAGTGACAATGTGTATGTGACAGTGTGTCAGTGTGTTAGTGACACTGACGTGTGTCAGTGACCGTGTGTCAGTGTGACAGTGTGTCAGTGGCAGTGTGTCATCAGTGACAGTGTGTTAGTGTGACAGTGTGTTAGTGTGTTAGTGACAGTGACAGTGTGTTAGTGACACTGACGTGTGTCAGTGACAGTGTGTCAGTGTGACAGTGTGTCAGTGGCAGTGTGTCATCAGTGACAGTGTTTTAATGATAGTGACAGTGTGTCAGTGTGACAGTTGCAGTGTGTCAGTGCCTTTGACTGTGACAGTGTGTTAGTGTCAGTGACAGTGTGTCACTAGTGACAGTCTGTCAGTGACAGTGTGTCAGTGTCAAAATCGGTGTTAATAACAGTGTGTTAGTGATAGTGACAGTTTGTCATCAGTGACAGTACGTCAGTGTGACAGTGACAGAGTGTCACCAGTAACAGTGTGTCACCAGTGACAAAAGAACTCACTCTGTCTGCCAGAGTCTCTTCCTGGGTGTCGGCATGCAATTCCTCGATCTAAGGGGTGGGGGTTGGTGGAGGGGGGTAGGATGTTTGACCCGGGGGGAGAGTACCGAGCAACAGTAGGAGAGGTGAAGACAGAAAAAAGCAAGCATACAGATGAAAAAAATAAGAATAATAATTATACTGATAAAAATTCTGATGATGATGATGATGACGATGATGATGATAACGATGATGAGGGTGATGATGATGTTGATGATAATGGTGAGGAATAACAATAACAACAACAACAACAACAACAACAACAACAACAAAAACAATAACAACAACAACAAAAACAATAACAGCAACAACAAAAAACAACAACAACAACAACAATAACAACAACAACAACAACCAAAACAACAACAACAACAACAACAATAACAACAACAACAACAACAAACACACAAAAAAACAACAGAAAACAAAAACAAAACCCCCAGAAAAATATCCTTCCTTAACCCCCACAAGGAAAAAAACTAAACAAATCAGCAAAAAA